TTTACATGTGAGCATATTATGGGGCTCTGTTGCCTTCATACAAATCATATCAATAAATTTTATCTTTGAAAAAGTATTTTATAGTTTAAACTATTTCAAATTATAAAATATTAACTCTTAAATGACAAAAAGCCCCCTGATATTAAAGGCTTTCCTCCATTTAAAGTCCATAACAACAATGAACTCTTTATTTTATATGGGCAAAACTTGTGGGGAGTTAAGCACAACTGAAATGATTTTTTTTTCAAAAATAAACAATACTATTTTAACTAACTTTATACATGTTAAAAATTATCTCAAAATATTACTTACACTACTATGCCAAAAAAAAAAAAAAAGTATCAAGGTAACTCAAGGACATTTCCAATTAAGAGAATTACTTTCTTGTGATAACTTTTGAGAAATGAAATTTTATTAATATGATAAGTGGAAAATAAGTGGTTATAAAATTTTGTGACATTGGAAAAATAAACCATTGTAAATTATCATGTTATTTTGTTTGCATAAAATAAAAGGATCATGAAAAAGATATGGAAGATGGAACATGTCAAGATCATGTCATTTTCGTGAATGATTTAATGAAATCGATCAAACCCGTGAAAATTCTAAAAACATACCTGGAAGCCAAAGGCTACCATACCATTCTCCCCACCCACTACAAGTGCACAGACGAAAAGGAGCTTTTCGTGAAGCAAGTGGGAGCTAGCTTCTCTTTATAATGCGATCCAAAGAAATGTGTATTTTGTCATGGCAGGTAAAAGCTACTTCCACTAGAAGTACACAATCTTTCGGCGCAAAACATCCACTCCAACCCCACCATCATGGAATGTGGTTAGTTTCATCTTTGGGCAAATTCGCATAATAAAAGTATATTGTGTAATTTGTACCTTGCTGTATTATATTTAAATTATTAGATCGAATAAACTCTTAAATATTAAAAGTTATTTTTTTCATTCATAAGTTTTTATTTTGTAATTTGATACAATATAGATTCAAACACAAACTCTTAACTTATTACTACGAAAAAAAACCATTTAGTGCTTGGAAGGGTCTTAAACGTAAGATTTTCCAACAGGTTGTAGCTTAAATTATGTTTATAGGATTATGAGAGCGCATAACGTAACGATGACTTTAATTTTTACTAGTTGAACCGAGGAGGTGTAAAGCTTGGGGATAGTGCTTCTTGTGAATTGTGATTAATTATGGTGGCCCAACATCTGCAGTGCAGCGCACCACGAAAAGTTTGCATTTACCATCACGAGTGCCCCATCAGTGCCATTACAAATACCACATTTCCATGTACCATTTTCTCCTGTGCTAAAAACGATCACACAGAATTGAGATGAAAAGGCACCTCAAGTTTCTTCCTTTCCTCTTCTTCCTCTCTTTCTTGATCGCCGGAAGTTTCTTTTGCCGTGCTGCTGCCAGTGAAGACCCCAAAACAGAGACTGCGATAGGGCCTAGCGGGCAGACTAGGGACGCTAGTGGTGCTAGTGGTGCTAGTGGTGCTAGTGGTTCGGGTCATGGGCCTAACTGGGACTTCGGTTGGGGATGGGGTTCCACCCCAGAAGGTGGATGGGGTTATGGTGGGGGTTCGGGGCAGTCGCCAAATGGGTTCGGGAAGGGCTTTGGATATGGGTATGGTTTTGGAACGGGCTCGGGTTCCGGGTATGGTTATGGATATGGAAGTGGTGGTGCTCATGGTGGTGGTTATGGGTCTGGAAGTGGCTCTGGAAGTTCTGTTGGTGGGGGCGGCAGTGGTGGTGGAAGCGGTGGAGTGGGTGCTTCCTGGATCCGTTCCTCTAACCAAAACCACCATGGCTGATCAATTGGTCGAAAAGTCGTATGCCTGCGTGCTCTACAGGAAATTAAGAATAGTCAATTAGATATGAAATCCAGATGGTGTGTAAGATTATATAGTGTGGTTTTACAGCATATATTATAGTTGTATGAATTTCTATACATGCATTGCAATATGCACTATAATGAATAGACTAAAGTTTTGTTCTTTCTCTAATCTGCATCCCAAGTCCCAACAAATCTCTCCATGATCTATCCATTTCCATATGTGTGTGCTTGACAGTTGCTAACGCTGATATTGCAGATAATTACATTAGAAAAATTGCGAAACTTGGCCCGAGAACATGTGATGTGAGAGTTTCCTTCAAAGTTTCTGAGAGAATAAATGGAAAAAACGTTGCTCGTGCAATGATCCAAAAAGTGAAGATAACAGTCAACAAAAATAATCCATAAACATCACATTCAAAATCTACAAAGTTCCAAATAGTTTCCAATGGTATCAAACTTTGGGTTTGGGGTGGAGATGCAGAATATGACTTCATTCTACTTCGATTGGCTCCAGACAACCATATTGGATTTAATTTTGATACATGCTAACAAACATAATCCATAATTGTTGACTAGACTGTTTTATATGGACTTCTAAGTAGATATACAAAAGATGGATGCCAAGACTCAACAAGCAAATTAAATATACATGCCCAGAAACCACATCAATCAGGCATTGTTATCAATCATATGAGCAAAAGTGCACAATATGCCAGTAGCAGGAAAAAAAAGAAAAAGCACAATACTATAAACAGATCATAATTTCATAACACTTGTTAAGACAGTGGACAACTTAGCCATAGCAACGGATTGGATCATTGCACCCTTTCTCAGCAGATTGCTTAAAACCAAAACGACCACCTTTCTCAAGATACTGCTGGTGGTATTCTTCTGCTCTATAGAACTTCTTAGCAGGCAGAATCTCTGTAACAATCTCCCTGTTTAAGAGCTTCTGCTGTTTCTCTAAGGATTCCTGTGCTGCCTTCTCCTGCTCAGGAGTGTAATAGTATATTCCAGATCTGTATTGTGTTCCCACATCATTACCCTGCCTCAATGATTGAAAAACAGTTAAGAGTGGCACAGATTCAATTTCTACCAAGACAGTCATAGCATATTTAGTAAAAAAATGATACGAGAACCAGGTGCAGTCCCTACGACTAACCATGAATGAGGGTAAACTGGAAAGAAAGAGGCCAATATTTGTGGGCAGGATCTAGTACCTACCAATGAAACGTGATTCAGATTATGAGTAATTTCAAACTTTCTGGTCTCGGTTGATTATAGCATTCAACTAAAGAAGGAATTATTATTCATATTCATGATGAAACCAAGCACCTTACCAATCTAAGTGGACAACAAACCGACGGTGCATCACTTATTGATGTTGATGACAGAATAATTCCGTAACAAACTAATTCGCTGAAAACATGAATACATTAGGAAATAGCTGGAATGGAGGGTAGCTTATGAAAATCCCACCTACTTCATTTTTTAAGGATGAATGGATGGTGCTCAGAAAGTAGAGTTCTACACTTCCAACTTAATCACAAAGAAATGCAAACACAAATACCCCACGTAGCTGGGTTTTAAATATGGTCTTGCTTAGTGAAGCCAGTACTCCTAACTCAGAGTTCACAGGCAAGGCAACCATTGACACCATGAAAAATGGATGAAAACAAATCTATGGATGTCGTTAGATTTTTCATTCTTTCTTCTTCTTCTTTTTTTTCTTTTTTTTTTTTCCATGGCTTTTTTCACATATTATTCCTAAAATACAATAGTCAATTCAAAGATCCAAATTAGGCCAAAACCCACGAAGCAAAGTTCATAAATTTCAAATAGGAAAAAAAAAAGAAAAAAGAAGAAACCCACCTGGCGATTGACGGTGGTAGGATCATGCTTAGTCCAGAACACATCAAGCAAGGTCTCATAGGTACACTCCTTGAGATCATACTGCACCCTCACCACCTCACTGTGGTTGGTATTCCCCGAACAAATGTCCTGGTAGGTGGGATTATTCATAAACCCCTGACTGTACCCGACCTCAGTCTTGGTCACGCCAGGGACCCTTTGAAACGCCAACTCGACGCTCCAGAAGCACCCCGCACCGAACTGGGCGAACTGCTGACCTGAGGCAGGAACATCATCATCGGAGCCCTGAGCGGTGGCGGAATTCTCCGCAGGCGGGGCAGATTTTGGGGAGCCGAAGCGCAGGTTCTTGAGCATGTTCATGGGTGAGCCGTAGAGGGAAAAAGGAATGGAATTCTGAGGGAAAGTTGAGGGCTTTCTGACGGACCGTAGGAGGAGGGGAATGTCGGAAGATTTGAGGATGAAAGGAAGAGTTCTGAAACTGCAAAGCTCGGCGTATTTGGATGGTACTTTTTGACCTGAACCTGTTGATTATTGAACAAGAAAAAGGATTGTAAAATTACTATTTTGTCTTATTTATTTATTCTGTTTTTTATTTTATTATTTTTAAAAATATTTTACAATTGTAAGGGTGGGTAAGATTCGGTTAGGATTGTAATTGGAATTGAATTAC